GTTGGAGAGGAGAGGGAGGAGGGGGTGGTTGGGAGGGACTGACCAGGTTTTGTATGGAACAGGATGTTTTCCTCTTTATGATCTTTTAATCGCGTATTTTTTTGTGGCTGTTAAAAACACAACCGCATAGAAAAGTAAATGGTTTTGACTTACTTGACTTAATCCTCTTTGCCCCTTGTGAGGCATATAGGGCTTTCACCATAGCTTCTCGAACGCACTGGCAATGTCATAATTTTCGTGTCGGCTAACAAACTGCCAAACCGCTTGAGAACATGATGTGGATTGCAGCGATTAAGATTGGGGTTGAAAATAAAGCGGATTGGATGTGATGAATAAGTGTGAAAACGGCTTGACAAACGCACAAGGGGGCAGGCAAGCAGATACTGTTAGAAAGAACGAAGCAATAATTAGTCGCTCTTGCGGGTCAGCAGTTAGACACTGTTTTTTGGCGAAATAAGGGGAAAATGGCTATCAAGAACGGTGATGTCCCTTTTGTTAGTTTTTAGCCATTGACCGACTGACGCACAAGAAAATGGAAAATTGTGTCACATGTAGGATGTGAACATGAACTGTCTACCAAAGTGCGCATGTGTATAAATATGGATAACTTGTAGCAAACTGAAACGACGGCATGAGATTTGGAAACCAAGGGGTTAAAGCCTCACTGTTGCGAGTTAATTACCGCAAAACCCACAATTACGGATCTGACGGCATCTCAAATGTTTCCTTATGAAGTGTGAAGCGCTGTGTTCGTTGCGCGCGTTATTTGGGCGTCGTCGCTTGGTGTTTACAGACAGGACATGTGTATTTTCCGTTGTTACGGTTTCCTTTTATTTTTCCCAACCAAGATTTTCCCCACTGTCCTTGCCCTATAAACCGCTGTTTAGAAATTTAATCTGTAGTGGATCGTTGAGTTTTCGGCGCGGCATTTTTTTCGAAAAATGGATATAATTCCTTTGTACTTTCCGAAGGAGTTCTACCTAACAGTTTTGCGGTTTGTCGCTTTCGACTTTTGGACACCAACGAGGGGCAAGTATTTCAGATCGATTTTCAATGTTCTCGTGTTTTTTTCTTATTCCTTGGCTTAGAAAATTATAACCTGATCGATGCTTATTTGATTCGATGAAGCTTAACTAATGTTTCGTAGAAAAATCTCTTGTGGAATTCAAGGCCAGCTTTCATGAATGGGAACGTGCTCGTTAAATCCACAAATATTGTCTGCTTCCTTATCTTATATTCTGTATTCTGAGTAGAGCAATTAAAGGTTTTTAGATTAAAAATACCATACATGACGCTGCTTCCTGACAAACAAACTTGCATCGTAACCTCGTCAAACAAAGGCATCCTTTTATACAGGTTGTTTGTAAAGTCGCGGATAAACACTTTCAATCTGTTTAGAGACGCGGCCATCTATTTTTAGCGGATCTTGACAAAGCTTAAAACCGTACGTGAATCAATAATAATCGAGGCTTAATTTTCAAGAGCAGTACTCGACAAATCACCGGAAACCATTATAGGAAGTTCAGCTCATTGGCGATGACGAAGAGAGAAATGGGTGATAAGTTCAGATTCCTTGGAAATTTTGCGATAATGTTGTAGATACTAGAAGTTCCTAAAACGTCGCTTCAATTTCTACTTCAGTATAATTTACTAAGAGTTCGTAAAACTGTGTTTTTCTATAACCAGGGGGTTGCTGCCTTAGTCTCATCTTTCTTTGTTATAGTATTTGACGCGATAATCTGAAGTATAATCTTCTCAAAACCTTGCAAATAAAAATACTAATTTCAAGTTTATTATGCCTTTTAACCCTTTCACCCCGAGAAAAACAAACGCGTCGTGCGATGCGGCTCTAAGTTTTGAGTCTTTTGAATCTTAGAGAGTATAAACATTGAAAAGTCTCTTCAGTATTTTTCCATATGTCATTTGAGACAGCACTTTCTTGAACCAGGAAGTTCGAACATCTAACCCAGTGCCCTCGTTGCAATCGGTTTTAGACGTATGTAGACATGAGACTGATACGATACCACGAGTCGGCCGGTCAACCAACTCCAGCAATGACCCAAAAATTCACTTTACATACAAACACCACTCGATGAGTAGCCTAAAATTTCGCTTCGTCTCTGACTTTATTTCGCTTCTCTGAGGCTTTCCAAGTTTTTCCACTTTATAAAACTAAAAAAATTCAGCATGGCATTTAAATGAATATTTAAAACAACTTACAGAAAATAATTTCAACGTATTAAAGGTGCATTATTCTCCTTCATCATGTCAATTCATGTGCGTGAAACTATGTTTGTAATTATGAAAGGAATAGCTCTAGTTTCCCATTAAAACTCTGCCTTTCCTCGGCAAAAAAGCAAACAAAAAACCCGCAATGTTGATGGCTTGAAAATACACTAGACCAGTCATCCCGCAATTTAATGGCAATCTAAATTTTTGAACATCAGTTATGTAAATCCCTCGACATGCGGTTGTTCGCAAACTTCCAAGCTATATTTAATGACTTTTATATTATTTTCAGATGTCTGCTCCGTTGCGTGGGTCTTAAATTGCGAATTTTGCGGCTTCCGTCTGACAAAAATCGAAACAAATTTGAACAAGAAGTGATGGTTTGACCTTTTGTCCGGTTCGTGACTGTCGCGCGCGCAAACTGACTCCCGCGCGGAAACTCCGCCAGCTTCGTGGGTTTCCTTCGTTTACCTCATAACCGCTTTCTGAACTTTGTTTTCGGTGGTTCGCGATAAAACGTGATGGAGACCCATTACACGCCCTTCCTTTAAGAATTTTCATTCGAAAGGTGTAGGATTTATTTTTGATCTTTCCTTGTAAACGTAATGAAAATTCCTGCGGGTTTTGCTTGTGTAATAAATGACAAAGGAAATAATATTATCTCAAAGCAGAACTTCTGGGCGATAAAGTGTTCATTATGTTCCGGATATTTTGGTATTTATTTTATCAGCAGGGAGTTTTCTTCGCCAGAGATTAAAATTAGATTTTCCGTTTGTGACGATTTTGTAGATAAAAGAGCAAATTGCAGAAGGGACAGTGACCCATTTTCCCGTAAACTGACCTCAAATTCAGGGAAAACAACAGCTCATTAAGGTAGTAAAACACCGAAGTGTTGATAAGAAGGCACAAAGCAACGTGGATGGCTAAAACTGGGCAGATTGAATGGAGTAATGAAATTCATGAGTTTGAATCGAGTAATGAAATTCATGATTTTATTTATTTACGAGCTAAACAAGGAAATAATTTTTTCCTTTTAGAAATGTTTTTTCGATTTAACACCAAATTATCAAAATTGGATGGCATGAACATGTACGACAATTAGCATAGGGAACTCTAAAATATATCGGTATGCGATAGGCGGGCATTAGGTGTAACGAGAGATAATTTTCTTAACATGCAAGCTTAGCAAATGAGCGTATGTTTCAACGATCATTTACTACGTGTGAATAAAGCTGTTTATCAACACGGAAAGTAAATGAAACTATCTTTCAAAGTCATCGATACGAAGCTTAAACAGGAGATCATGGAAGTTTCGGAAGAATTATCTCGGTATCAAAGCGGCAATAGTCGAGTTTCCTATCCCTTAATAGTCCTTAATCCTTGGAGGAGATTATTCACAGAACATCTTGAAATAACCATCGTATATTCTTATCCATCTTGCAGCTCATCAAACATAATCTTCTTTAGTCTTAAAAGCATTCCTTTACATTATTAACGGATTAGAGCATTTTAAACTGCCGTAAGATGGTTTTAAATCTACTTTTTTTCGAAGCACGTTGAGATTTTCTAGATATTTTCAGCTCCCAACTGTTAACACTTCATCAGAGAGTCGATGATGCTTTGTTTCTTCTCCAAACTTCTCAGCCGATCAGATCAAACACAGCAATCGCACGTGCAAAAATGCGTCAAGTCGTTGTAAAAAATGCCTTCTACTTGAAGGCCCGGACGACACGGCTTACTGCACTCTTTTCAACAGTCTTAACAGACTAACATTCCAAAATCTGAATTTGCACCGACGCAATCGATTATCTGTCAAAGACAAGCCCGCCTTATATGTTTAGACGAACAAGCTTATCACAAATTCGTTATTAGAATGTTTGCTTTGGAATTAACCTCAGCGGGTGTCTTTGACAATGTGTGTTTTTGTCAAACTTTATAAGCATGAAAATTTACACAACTGTGTTCCTTATATCGTTAAATTATTGGAACTAGAAGTGAAATGTTCATTTAAGCTCATTGATTATTTTATGTTGCAAATCGAGGAAATTCTCAAATCATACTTCATCCAATTTGAACCAAATTTTCGTTTTGTTAAATAGCTATGGGGCTGTATGCTAATCTTGATAGCCGCCACCTTGCCCAGCCCCCTCAGGCTGTAATCCATGTTTTGACGAAGAGAATTCGAGTTTCAAAATTTAATTAAGATGGAATGACCTTTTGAAACAATTGCAGTAAATCGCAGTTTTACCCCCTGTGGTGAACGCCTAATCTATTCTCTAGAAGAGACGAATTTGAACCGGTTCAAGGTCGACAATTTAGTCATAGTTCTTGATTGCTTTACGTTTCTTTTGATGTCATTTAGTTGTTGGTTTTATCTCTTTCGTCTTCAGTGTGTACATGTATAACACTGTACTGATTTTGTTGGACAAAATTGGACGATGATAGTGTTTGGGATAATTTACTCTGTTTGATTTATTGTTTACTAAAATCAGTGATCCTGAAGTAAAATGGTTTTAGCGCCGAAGGGTAACATTTTTCCATTAGCATTAAACATGTTTTTGTGATAAATATGTTTGTTTTGGGTTTGTTTGGTATCTTTCTCGATATTAGATTTAATTAATCAAATGGTAAGTCAAGCCTAAGGGCCAAGGCTTTTGACAACAGGCCAGTACAATAACTCCATCTACCAAACCGTACATGTCGATCTGATCTTACAGATTTTGTTATAACAATGTTGATTTAGGACCTCCAGTCGCCCAAATGTTAACCTGTCTCTTTCGAGGAACTCTCAAAAGATAGAAAGAATCTGAGAGATCTTCCAAACGACAACTATGCTGTGAATCAAATCAAGGATGACCAATTATTCAAACAGCCCCTTCGTCACATCTTGTGCCATTCTCGTCACCAGACTCTGCGATCCCCTTGGACATGACAAGGACCGGCGGGCTCTGGGGATGAGAATGGTCTTGTGCACGTAGAGCGCGTGTGCTACGACAAACAGATGGGATTAGTTTTGTAGCCTGTGTATTTCCTCCCCTTCCTGTCGTCTATCCCTTTCCCTGATTTTTCTTGAAGGAAGTAACCGAAGACGGCCGACAAATGTAAACAGGCCATTCCTCTCTAAGGCGTAGGTCAAACGTCGAACTTCACATGAGAGGAGCTAAACTGAGCGAATTAAGTTCGGGATAAGTTCGACGTTTGACTCGACTGAGTTCTTCCGACTGAATTTAGAAGCAGACGGATAGAACGTGTTGGTCGAACTAAATTCGAATTAAGATCGACGTTTGACCCAACGGTCGAGGTTTAACCGTTTGGATCGACTCAAATTGCAGTTTAGTTCGTCTTATGTGAAGTTCGACGTTTGACCTGCCTAAGACTGCATTGTTTCAGTGGTTGGTTTGTGTTTGTTACACATGTTTATAGAGGATAAAGACTCTTGGACTTGTTTGATTATGTTATTTTTTATTTCCTTGTTTTAGGCTATAAAAGACAATATGGGCAAGAGTTGCAAATGTCACGGTGTCTCTGGCTCGTGTACTATCCGAGTGTGTTGGAAAACCATGCCGAAGATGGCGCAAGTTGCCTCCGAACTACGACGAAGGTTCGATAGCGCGCTGAAGGTTAAACTAAACAGAAGCAAAACCAAGCTCACGAGACTTTCTCGCGGACGACGAGGACGAAAGAGGAACACGAACAACCGTCGACCGTCGCCTTCAAGTCTCGTCTACGCCGTCAACTCACCGGACTTTTGCAAAGCCGACGACAGGTATGGAATTCTGGGTACGGTAGGAAGAACGTGCAATAAGACATCGGAAGGCACGGACGGTTGTCGCCAGTTGTGCTGCGGCCGGGGATATAACACTGCTAACAAGGTGGATGACGTCAAATGTAACTGTACTTTTATCTGGTGTTGTCACGTCAAGTGTGATTGGTGCAAAAAAGAGTGGATCGAACATACTTGCAAGTGAGGCGTAATGACGTCACTAATCAGGAATAAATTATTATGGATTATGTTCAAAGGGCGTCACGGATTTTTAAAATGTGCAATTAGTCGGTTGGATTTTTATTTTTTCATTGGCCGTGTCGGATACGGTGCTGGGAAAGCAGCTATGAATGATTACACCAGAAGTAACAAAGGGTAGCTTACCACTTTCTACAATAATTCAAAGACAACAAATCATCACCGACACACTTTGACATCGCTTGTGGCTACTGTGAGTCATGGCTTAGATCTCTATTCACGCGATGCTTAAACGTTTCACTTGGAAATAGAGAATCGAAGGCTTTCTTCTAGTTGCTCACTCGTAGGAACAACAGCGTTTTTAGCCTTTCATTGGATAGGTTTTGCTTGACAGTGTACATATTTATGAGAACTTTTAAAGAACTGAATTGTATGAAAAATGACTGAATTTTTCACCTCCCCCAGCAAGATTCTCCCCTGTAATTCTATCCGAATAAGTCCGGGGAATAGGAGCCTCTTCGCTGAATTCAATCAAATAAGACTAATGAGGCGACAGCCTTTTACCAAGTTGCTAATGTAGTGGCCAGGTTATACTGCTCACAAAAGCATGCGTACGTCAGTATGACGTCATATTGCTTAGCAACGTCTCGAACGAAAAACGCAGGCTCAGCCGTAGTGGTGCTTATTCCCCCGACTGTTTCCTGAGAAACCTCGGCCAGAAGCAAACTAATTAATATGCACCTTGTACTTTTCTCACATGACGAGAAATACACGAGCTTGTTACGATATTGTGGAGAAGAATGAGAGCGGGAAAGACTCTTTTCAAGTGGAAACAAGCGTTGTGATTCTCGCGACTTGTAGAGCATTTGTTTTAATTGTATGTCTTGAGGTTTGTAACTTACACAATGCAAATAACTTCTAATTATATAATTATTTCTATGTATACAAACCTTTCTTATTTATAAAATGACACCGTAGAGAGAAAATCAGTGTTTGAACATATTGTATTGTAGAGGACGACTTTTTCGAAAACACGAAAGTCCAACAGTAAAGAAATAAAAAACAAGTCCTGAGTTGTGAGTTTGCAATTTAGTTGTTCTTCCCCTGATTCCACCATTCTTGTCCCACGCTCGAAATTTGAATTCTCCCTAATCAATTTCATATTTTTATTTAGACTCCTACTGAGAATTTGGTCATTTATCACTGAAAATAATCACCCCATGTTGACGATTTCTGCCTTGTGTTTACCTTCCTACTCATTCATTTTGTCAGGGAGAATAGAGTGTTGATCACTATGGAATAGGCGATTTGCATAATGGCGTCATTTGACTACAACTACCAGAATCCTTCACTTTTTCTGTTTCTTATGTTCATAAGGGCAATTGTTCTTTAAACCCCCCTGGGAATTCAAAATTAAAATAACAAAGAAAAAATAAAAAGAATTCTGATAGTTGTAGTCAAATGACATCGTGCAAATCTGCTATTAGCAAGGTAAAAGCCCCTCTCCCTTAAACGACCGGTAAAAACTATGCAACTAAGCCCCGGGGAAAAGGTTGTTATCATTTTAGTTGCGGTGGAGGGAAGAGAAGGTAAATCCTCGTCACTCAAAATGTATTGGCTATTGGGAAAGTAACGCTTTTGACAGTCACAAAAGTCAGAGACTCCGAGAAACCATCACAAACAGTCGTAGTGTCTACCTTTGATGCCGTTTCCGATCGCCAAACCTGGAGGACCGC